ATCATCCCCCTTGCGCGGAGTAAGGGTTCTCGACCCCGCACAACATGATCTACTCGACCACCATTACGGTTACCACAAAAAAAAAAACAGAGGTAAAAAAAAAAAAAAAACGGTAACCTGGTTGCCGAGTTTACGAAGTGAATTGGCTTGTTTTTACAGCGTCGTTGCCAAGCGACGAAATCCAAACCCCGATGACAAACACCGGGGGGGGGGGATATTCCGAAGGTATACCTGTGCGGCGCCGGCGCAAGTGTCTGCATCCCAGCTGCAGCCATTCCGTCGCAGCCATTTAAGCACGTCGAGGTGGCCACCCAGGGCAGCCCCTCGACAGGCCCAACCATTCCACGGGGCCCCGTTTTCTGTGGCCCATTGAAGAACCTGTCAAAAGAAAAAAAACACAGTTATGATAAGAATGAATACCAACGGCTCAGCAGACGGCGGTTAAGGGCTTGTTTGTAGCATAGCAGAAGCAGACTGCACAACGGGAACCACACCTAAAACAAAACAGAAAACATGCGTGCTGTGAAAATTCGCACGTTTCAGCAGGCGGCGATTTGAGAGCATTCTTAAATCGGAAGCAGAGTGCAGAAGGAGGACCCACACCTGTAACTCGTTATCCGGAGATTCAAGAGACTGCACAAGTTAGGTCACGTGGACGCCAATTTTTCGTCGGGAACTTCCTCCGGGCATGAGTGCACGGTCACCTCCAAGTCAACAACAACGAAAGCCAGCAAGTCCACACCCTTTTCAAGAGCACCAAGTTGACAGTAGGGTGCCTGCGTACTCTAGCCGTCCCCCGCCCCCAAGCGGCTCGCCAAGTCTTGCAAGACACGTGGCATGTGCGCGCGGCGTGCAACATTCCACTGCTGTTGTCGTCCAGCAGAGTCGCCGATATTTCCTTGCAACACGGAACACGATAGCTGACCGCTGTATGGTATGTACCCGTTTCTAGAGAACCTGACAGTGATACTCATTTCTACAGACCTTAACGCCTACATCGCTGCAAGCACCAGAGATGAGGACTTCACTTTCACTGGTCAACGGCAGGTTTTTCGACATCCAGCGGGTACAAGTATCCACTCCACCGTCAAACACCACCTCAAGCCCGACACTGTTGTCCAGGCCAGCATCAGTGTTGCCCTGTCAAGAAAAAAACTGCGCCCACAGCAGTACTGAAGTCAAGCGGCGTCACCTCGAGGTGGCCTCCCAGGGCGGCAGAGGAACAAACGCTGTGGTCCCAGGGGCACTTGTTCTCGAGGCGAAGCCACTTGAGGAGAGCCAGGTGACCCCCCCTCGCTGTAGTTGTGGGCAGGAGAGAAACAAAAATGCAACAGCAAAAGCAGCATCAAGTAGGTCTCCTTCGTAGTTGTCTCATCGCACCAAAGTTAACAAAATTGCATTATCATTGTAGCTCTTTCACTGTGGATGCGTCATCGTAGACCTTTCATCGTATGCGCTTCACCATAGACGAATTAGATGTCTCTTTCCTACATTCCTCTTGGTCCACTTGCGCTCGAGGTTCCAAATCCCAACCCTCCATCTCACCGTAGTGTGTCTCTCACTCTAGACGTCTCTTTTCGTACACGTCTCTCGATTCACTCACGATTGAAAGCGAATCCAAATCCGGACCCTGCCTACAAGGCATTCGGCCGAAAGCAGCAACGGGCTCCCGCAAGAGCAGCAACGCCCACAATTGAGTACTGGGAAACTTTCTGGGGTACAGCGTTTCCCACAGGTCTACCGTTGCCACCGACCTGACTGTTGTGAATGGGGGAACACCAACAGAGACTCATGTGCTCGTGAGCGTTGTTCTACATCGTTTCTCGTTTTGTTGTAGGCAGCCCGCATCACATGCCGTGTGTTGCACAAGCTTCCACACACCGGACCGATTTTCAAAGCTTGAGCACTCCGCAGCAAACATAAGTGCACTCACTGTGCCGAAAAGTAGCGGCTTTGGAGCCGTCTCGCCCGGGGCTTTTCGAAACCCTTTTCATCGTTTGACATTGGCATCTCCTTGGTCGCGGAGTAATCGAGCGTTGAATTTCGGGCGTGGGGTGTGGTGCCTCATGCAACCTATGGTACTGATGGTCCCGCTCTCCGTGGTAAGCGTCATTCACGGTCACAGGCCCTATTCACAACGGCTTACACCTGGATGGAAACCCTTCGTCGACTGTCTGTCTACCCAGAAACGAAGCCACCTACACTCACGAGCGGGCAGATAGATAGATGATCATCTTTCTCGCTCATTAAGGCACCGCTTTGTTCTAAGGATGACAAATATGTAGCACTTTTTTGGGGACGCAACATCGTTCACCAACGCACCTGCGCCCGAGCACATGTTTCGGTCCCACGAATACCCTCGGCCACGGGCCCACTCCAAGACGCACTGCTGCCCAGCCTCGGCAGCCTTCGCATGCACCGTGCGGGACCAGACGCAGCTGTGGGGCAACCGAAAACAACGTTCCGAACATTAATTTGTTGTTTGTTGAGATATCAGAGAAGAGGCGGCAACCGTGCAATCGACACAACGATCCGAAACCAGTTGTTGTTTGTTACGATAGATCAGAGAAGGGCCGGATTATTGCGTGTATCCGATTGCACGAGTCTCAGACGCACCCGAAACAGAGCAATGCCGCCGGTACTACACCCATCCTTCCCACACGAGAAAAAAAAAAAAGCAAGACACAACGCGGACGACTCCTACCGGGGAACGCGGCTGGTCCCCCTGGACAAACAAAACAACTCTTGGAACACCTGCGCGCTGGAAAACAAAACACAACAACCCAACCCAAGCAGGTGCATGGAGGACACCAACAAGCGACAACACACACCCGCAATCCAAGCAGCACCGCAAGAGGTCTGGCCTCCCGAGGCGAGCTGCCTCCTCCAGGAGGCCGGCGTGGCGCCGAAGCCCGTTGTCGAAGCTGTACGTGAGCTGAGTTACCGTCGTGGCGAACGTGACGGGACGGGTCGACGCCGGGCGGCCTTTGCCCCATGCGGCCTCCCAACCTGAGAAGAAGGGGGGGAAACGTAGGTGCGATAGAATGATAAGCGGTGCAGAAAATCTGAGTGGCTTTCCTCCTGTGACCCCGGCTGTTGTTGAACCGTTCCGGTCTCTACGCTGTTGCGCCCAAAAACTGTACCGAAAGGTGCAAAAAGAGCCATGTCCAGCAAAAATGGAATGACGAAAAAGTGCAATTGTCGAGATTTAAGGGACCGCGTGTGAATTGCTATGTACCGGCTAGAGGCCAAAATTCGCCGAAAAGGACGGTTCGATTGTTTCTCGGTCCACAGGTAGCTGCAAGCGGTGCGACGTCGCGATTGAGAAATATCCCAGACTTTGGTCGGTTTGCATCTTCGGCGTGGTGAGAATCGACAAGGTTAGTGGCTGGTGCGGGTGGTGCTCGATGGTACTCTTTAGTGCTGCAAACCGCAAGAGAAAACAAGAAAGCGGCATAACAGGGAGTAGCCGTTAGGCCAGCCCAACCGCAGTCCCTGATAAAATCACCTGGACGTTAGTACAGCATAGAGTTAGGGTTGAGGTTAGGCTAAGGCTTATCCAGGAGAAGACTCACCTTCACTTTGGTAAACGAACCATGATCTCAACCGTAATTTTCTAAGCAAAACAACAACAACAACAACGACAGAGCTAGCTCCCATCATGCGTAGCAAGCCCAAAACCCACCGCAAGACGATCATACCCGAAAGGAATAGTAACAGGGAGCAATAACACAATGCGGACATTGTGGATATCATAGTCAGTCGGCACAAAAAACGTCCTTGAACCCCCGTTCCTTCGTACACCGGGACGACCTCACGCGTTAGGTCTAATAAAATGGCCACATGTCGTATGCTGCTTCTGCATTGCGAGTAACAGCGACCGCACCGCTTACACTAACTGTTGGAGCTCGATTGAATTTCGGGGCTCTCGATGGCTACACAATCAACGAGGGTAAGAAAGAGCGACCGAAGCGAGCAATTAAAGCTGTCGACGAGATACTTCCAACGCAGCCCCTTTCGGCAACGGCATGTCCTGTTGGTCGCCAAGAAATCAAGCACTGAAAGCTGGCCTAATATGGGGTGCGCGATCACTCGCCCAACTGACTGCATTTGCAAAGGCATGCATGCAACAGGTACGGCAACAAAACAGCGCACATTCGGAGACAAAGACTCCACCAGCTAAAGACAAGCTGCTAATATTATTAGACCAATCGAAATCGTTCCCTTACCCTTACAAACAGGAGCGAAGAACAAGTACGAGTCGTCACCCACGAACTCCAATAGGTAGCGGACGATGTCCGCGCTCGTACTCAGGATGTTAGGACTCACGTCATTGGCAGCCATGGTGGGTCGCAGAAAAGGCCACAAATCAGTCTAGACCGAACCGATCGATTGGCTGCTGGTTAAAAAAAAAAACGATGCACCCGGGAAAAAAAAAAATGTGGACCGCTTCGTGAAGGACGGAGCCTTGAACCAAACAAAAAAACCTGCAGGGGGATCGATCAACACCAAGAACAAGGACACGAGCAGCGGCGCGCAAGAGGGTTAAGATTGGGATTAGGTGTTTTCTCATGGCCGTCGCAGAACGCGTCTGTTTTCTTTCTCGCTCAACATTGGTGTCCACTAAACAATGACCCCTCGCACCGGTTGACCAATTGAAATGGGACATTTTTCAATAGCAAGATACTAAAAAAAGTCAAGGAACGCGTTCTCCTATGCCGGCTGCCCAGCAATGGGGTTGCCATGGAGTAGACTTGATGACAGGCTCAGGTCTCCGAGTTCAGAGCAAATACAGGTAGCCTTTCCTCCCGCGCGAAGAAGTGCTGCTTCTTTGCCTTGGACGGCAGATAAATTTACAGGAAGTAGAGTTGAAAAGATGGCGACGAAAGCAGCAACGGTGGATGACAAAAACGACGGTGCATCGCGGAGCACCGCCGATGCTTCCTGTCGCTCGTACGCAGAGTGCCTACGGCAGCTTCACCTTTTGTTGCCTAGAATACAGGCAGTCTTGCTGAAGCAGAGAGAATGCTACGACGCCGTGCAACATGTTCATATTTGGTTGCGTACACTGGTAGCATAAGTAGGAAGGCAACCAGTGCGCGATGGGAAGCATCCTGCCTGTGTTATAGGCGATGTGTGTGAATTGTCATCGCGCCTACACGAGACACAAGACTGACCATTTGCTTTCCTCGTCCCACTTGTTCTCCGTCGCTGGCTTCTTTCGAGTCTGCTTTAAGCCTGCACACTCATTATTTACATCGATGATACCAGCTGGTGCTAAGCACAAAAATGTTTGTATAGCTTTATTCATTCTCGCGAACCACGGGCGTTCTGAATTCTTACCTGCGGCGAAATCCTAAAAAACGTCCCCCGTCGCGAAAAACAGTTGGAACTCCCCAGGGTATCACCTCGGTCATGTTGTCGTGGCACTCTTGGCAGCTGTCGACGTACGTATTATAAGTTCAAGCTTGTGATCCCCTTCCCCTGGCGCTGCTGGATGTCACCAAATACGCACATCTCTTAAGGTATTGGGGCACATCGACAGCAGCATCAACATGGGCTTCAACTGACCCCCCCGCGTTGTGAGATTTGATCGCTGCTGCTAAGGTGCTGCTGCCAACCGTGTCCCGAGGGACCGGTGAGCGATGTGGGTGTCTTGATCAAACCAAGCTCGCTACAGCAGTAGCGCCCGTGCTGGTGAAGTACTGGGCTGCTGCCGATGAAAGCAGGTAGCACAGCGGTCACTACGCCGATGTTCCAACAAAAGCTGCATCCTCGTCCTTGCTGCTGCTGCTGCCCACCTGACGCTGAGACGCAAGTGACCGCTTGCTCCAGCTGACTCTTGCCGCAACTATGCGCTCTCTGCCGAGCAAGGCGCAATTTGTTCGAGATCCCTTGCCGCTGAACTGCTGTATGGTAGTGGCGACTGGACCTCTTTCCGCTCCAAGCGGCGGGCGTTTCGTTTCGCCTCAAGGGCCACGTTGGCCGCAAGAACTGCACGTGCTCCAACGATGGCACCGAATTTCGGAGGCCCGCGTCATCCAAGACACGTGGGAGAAGCGACCTGTCGGCAGGCGTCTTTTCCCACATGTCCCGAAGGATGACGCCTTCGCAATTCGGTGCCCGTATCAGCCCAACGTGAAGTTCTCGAGACCAACGTGGGCCACAAGGCGACAGGAAACGCCCGCCACTTGGAGCGGGAAGAGGTCCTGCCGCCGTCACCACGCAAAACAACGGCCAGGGATCTCGGACGAAAGAGTGCCTTGAACGGCAGAGCTCGCACCGCTGCGGCAAAAAACAGCTTGAGCAACCGGCCACCCGCTAGCGTACGTCTCATCGCCAGGCGGAGGCAGCAGTAATAGCAAAGACGGACGTGCAGGTTGTTCGCGGGGCGCCGGCGTCGTGACTACCGTGCCACCTGTCGACATCAGCAGCAACCCGGTAGCTCACCAGCACTATTTACCTCTAGCGAGCTCTAAATAGCGTGCTCTAGTGAACTTGGTTCGAAGCAACAATAACTGGCATCTGTTGTCGGACAAATTCTACCCTGCTCCAGGGAAGAGAGAGAAGAGAAAGGAGATGTATCGAGACAACGGCATCGTCTGACGCAGAATCGTGTCGCTGCTACCTCTCCGCTCGTCGAGAGCCGACATGCGTGGCGTGGGTCCAGAAAGCGACAAGAGGCGCGAGAACGAAGGAGCTTGGCCCACCCTACGACGGTAGTGTAAGGCACTGAGATCGACATCATTGCTTTCTCCTAGTATGGTTCCATCTCCTCTGCCGGGGCTGTGTGGAGCAAGTATGACCACAGATGGAGATTGTTGCTGCTTTCACCTTGGCTTTCTGTTCCGCCATGCAGAAAAAACACCGCGCAGCCCAGAAGGACACAAGATGCGGTACAACTCCTGCATCTTCATTACGCCATGCCGTCTGAAACCGCCCAATGACCAGTGGCCATGGGAAATAACATACCATCACACGGCTACCCAACCACCACAACACCCCCCCGTTGTTCCGGGAGCCGCTCCGAAGTTTAGGCCATTTGGGATCAGGTTTTGTGGAACGCAGCTACCTGATTTGGCGAACAAACCTGCCGCGGAATTTCAAAAACAGGCACGACCGAAGATACACCGTGAAAGCGAGGGGAGATGGCACCTGCCCCAGACCGAGTTTCAAAGCTCGATTGCTGCGCAACCAGGCTAATTCCAATACCGAAAATGACGGTCTTGGAAACAACCGTTGCGGTACTTCCGGGCACGTATCGGGCTCTTTGCGCACCCACTTGATTGTGGAGCAATCGAGCTTGGAAAGTCGGTCTCGGGGGGGGTGCAATCTCTCCGCCTCCCTCTTTCGGCGCATGTAGAAAAGTGTCGCCGCCGAAGATATTTAAAGTGAGAAGCACGTTGCGAGTACACACAACACATAACACACAACACAGAGCTGATTGCTGTCTGTCTGCTGCTGTAAGCACTAAACTACCCAGTACTTCGTAGATAGATACGTACTAGGTGGATGGAGGGACGTGTTTGTGTGGTGGTCGTCCGGTCTATCCTGACGCCAGTCTGCACGTCATGTTTTCTCATGTGCTCACATAATGTTTTCTCATGTTCCTTGGAACAAATACTACAAGTGGTGAATATCCATCTCTTTTTCTACCGCATGCCGCTGCTGTGCCACAGCAGTAGTGCTGTGGCGGTTCCTGTGCATCCATCTGTGCAGGTGCACACATATGTACCGTCGTATATGACACAAGATAACACACCGCATGGACCGATTTTCAAAGCTCGATTTTTCAAAAGCAGCAGCAGTCGCAGGGCCGAAAACGGCGGCGTTAAGGCCGTCTGGTCGAGGCTTTCTGAAAACATGTCCTTTCGTCTATGCACCCTCTTCGTCGTGGAGTAACCGAGCTTTGAAAATCGGTCCAGGGGGTGTGTTATCTTGTGTCATTTACGGTAGTCTACTGGTTCGCTCATGTGTAAATAGTCATGTCTATGTGGTGTTAGGAGCGGAGCGGAGTAATGTTGGAGGATGTCCTAAATCAAACCTCGTCACGCTGCCGCACAACAGCAGACATATATTGCGCACACGCACACATGATGAAAGAGCCCGATTATCAGTGTATCTCCTACCGAACACGTGTCGCCCTTGACAAGCCACGCCCTACAACAGGAGGTTCAAGGCAACAAATCCAAGACAAACTCTGTGGAGGGCGAGATGGGGGTCGAAGAGTCCACAGCCAGCAAGAGTTTGGGCGCATTTTTCGGTGGGGTCTCGATCAACGTTGAGCCTGACACGCTGTGGTTCATGTGCGTCCTGCTGCCCTCCTGCAGGAGAAGTGATTGCCCTACAAGGAACGCAGAGGCTAGCTGCTGAATTTCACCGCACGCTTGCGTCCCAGGGGCGATACGATCGGTCGAGAGCGCGCGTATCGAGAAGAAGGAGACGCCCTTCCTCCCCGCTACAAACGGACGTGCCTCTCGATCATGCTTGATATGAGCACCTACACAGCGCCAAAATATTGGACGCTACCTCGCCTCGGAGCGGAGAGCTCACCTGTCTAGCAGGTGGGTTTCCTGCGGTTTTCCTTGGTTTATTCTTGAAAATAGTGTGTGCGCCTCGCAACAGGTGGCGGTTGGCGGCAATCAATGCAATTTGCGTTTGCTTGTTCGGTGTTGCTGCTCGACCGACACACCCTGGCGGGGCACCCCCCAATAGTGGGAAGGTAGGGGGACAGTGAATGGTATTAGGAACCTACCGTGGGGACACCGGTTATCACGGTTCAGATGAAACGGTCGTATGCGTTACTGACTGCTTGCTCGTGACCGTTAGACTATGTTCAGTCGTGTGTGCGTGGGGGAATTGAACAGGTTGATCTGTTCCGGGGATTCGCGGGGAAGTATTGGAACTAACTGTGTGCCGGTGTAGCCCGATGCAGCGTGGTGTGTGTGTGCTGTGAAGGAAGGTGGAGACACCGCAGTGTACCAAGTGAACCACCAGAACTGTAGTCGACGATCTCTTTTCCAGTCTACCTTCCTTGCGTAGGTAGTCCCATGATCACGCAAGGCATCCGCGTCCGTTGGACTAAAACGGATGTTTGATTGTACTGAGCAGCGGAGACCGGAATTAAATGTGAAGACAGCAGCAACGACCAACAACATCAACAACACAATAACAAACGATCACTACAAGTATCACATGGTCACAAATGTGTCGCCCAAATCTTACGGCAAGCTTCTCGCGAAGATGATTGATTTTATGTGATTGATACTATGGCATACTTCAGCAGCACGAGATTGAGAAACGCGACGGCCGCCCACGTATGCCTTGTTCTTCTTGCGCAAGTTGCAGACCTTGGGTGCGGACGGATAACGCCGTTGAAAATGGATAGCGGCTGCTGCGTAGACTGCATGTATAGCTGAGTCTCACGACGACTACAAATCTGCGTTGGGCTGTGCACATGATTGCACCTTGTTGTAGCTTGCAGTCTTTGAAGTTTGCAGTGCGCTCTCGTCATGCGGTAATTCGTGGAGGGGATGTCAGCGATAAGAGGCTACGAGGCTACCCTTGTGGGGCCAAGTGCAGGAACCCTAATCCTGGAGGTACCACCCCCTTCCACATGCAAGGAGCGTCACTTTCAGGCCTGCTTGGTTGTTTGCATTGATGCCAAATCTAACGCCTGCGAGAAAAATGTGTGACCACAATCGCAGCAGAAGCTAAATACCGAACGGGGAACCAGAATAAACGGCTCGCCAGAAACACATGCGAAGGTAGAACTCCGCTGAAGCATGGCAAGAGCGCCAAGAGCGCCCACAACTGCGGTGCCGTCATTTTTCGGAAACAGGAACGATGCCTCGTCTTCAAAGGGATTCTTGGTCAAGGGGGTGAAAAAAACGACGAGCGCAGCGAGGATACGCCTCCGCCCCCTCCCCCCCGCCCCCCGCAGGATGTTTCCCAGCAGATTTCGGGGAGAGGGTTCGGGCAATGCGGTGACATGCAAAATTTTCCCACCCGCTTTGAGAATTGCAACAAGCGCAGAGGTCTTTATGCAGCACCCCGAGAAAGGCTGTGCCACCCGAGTGAGTCGTGCAGTGGCGCGAGAGGAGACAGAATAACTCTTTGCATCTCTTTAGCACGGACACAATTGCCGACAGCCCTACTGCTGTATGTGCTTCTTGACTAACACTCAAAATTATGACAGAAAACACCGATCTCACACCAACCACCGCCAAGGAGATGGCAACGACCACATGGCAGAACAATCCTAACGGCGCACCGCGTCAATTACGGAAGAACAACTTGGGGCGGGGACATCGACCTGCGCACCTTGCTATTGCACGAATCTCTATATGCGCTTGCTCCGCTATAAAAACGTGCGTGTTTTGGACGTGAGTCAAGCACCCTGGTGCTTGAATTGACGCTTGGCCTTGCTTCGGTCAGCCCACTTCAAAGCCGTGGCACCGGCCATAGTTCCGCACGTCACGAACAACGCAATCTGGAAGGTGGAAGCAACAAGAGTGACGACGACACCGCCGAAGGCACAAACGAGAAGCACACGCACGGTGGTCAAGACGAAATTCCTCGCGAGCGCCCGAAAATATTAATTACAGGCACAAGCCAAACCGAACGTCCTTCACAACAGCGGAAAATCGAGGCTTGGCTGCCACGTGCACCTTGTCCTGCTTCTCTTGAAACTACCGCCCCGTGTTGCGCTGTCGGCACGACTCGTTCTCACCTTCGCGTTGCGCAGGCAGAGATCTGCAGCCTCAGTCACATCAACGTCGCACCCTTCTACCACTATGTCGCCGGCTCCTGCCTCCCCACCGGAAGTGGTTGGCGCCATTACGCACCCGGCCTTCTCGCGCGCTCCTGGGCAAGAACTGGAGAGAACGAGCGGCACGGGGAGGCAGGGTTCGGGGAAGGAGCCCGGTCCGGTGTTCAAGCGTGGCGATGGAATAAGGTATTTCGGTTGGCAGCAACAAGAACAAAATCTGAACGCGGGCACATCGGCCTATAAGTGAAAATCAATCCGGTAGAATTAAAGTCAGCGCTGACTTGTCGAATGTTTGATTTCGGCTACGAACACTTCAAGCACAACCCAAAAGATCAGTTGCAGTCAATATGCATACGACAACGCAATATTTTTCGTGGGATGCCATGGTGTCGTTCTGCTGTTCATTCCGGCGGGTGCACATACGGGGGTGCAGGGTGGTGGGCCCTCTAAAGCTCGAAAGTGACTGCCAACATCGTTGTCACGAGAAAAAAAGTCCAACGTCCGCAGGCATGAAACGGCCAAACGCGGAGATGCCCTACTGTTTTCTCTTTTGTGAGACTGAGAGGTACAGTAGTGTTGGGTGAGAATTCTTGGCTCGCAACGACTACGGTAGGCTCGCAGAGGGTGGGGGGTGAGGGGAAAGAGCGTAATGAATAGAACCAAACCATGAGCTAGGATGCCGCTGGTTCGAGGGTAGCATCGACGTGTGGCCTTGTCACCATCACACCGTAGATCTACACACGAGAACAAATAAGAACTGCTGCGTTCAGGGGCGACACACAGACGAGTAGGGGGGACAAGCACACGAAACGACAAATTTACCTTCCCGGGCAGCCGTTGTTTTCACGTAAGGCGCTTCCGACTCACTACTCAACAACAAATACATCCCAATGAACCAACGTTATCTCGGGAGAGCACACCTGCAACACCGGTCGCACGACCCTTGCAGCTTCACGTAGACACACAGGAGCAGCATCGTTGCCACGAACAGGAACGTAGATATCCTGGATGCGCAACCACCAAGAGAGAGACACGCACAAACGGTGGTTCAGACCCACGCTTCGCACCGTCCTGTTTGGGGGATCGAGCAACCAAAAGGAATTCGTCTGCCGTGACTGACTGGCGTTCGTTGACGCCAAGACTGTTCCAAGCGCAATGAACAGGAACCAGGATTCTCGACGTGATGTATACATGTCGTGCGGCGGAACAATCTTCTACACTGACCGCTTGCAAACTCTAAAAAACGAAAGATATTCGCCATGTAATATATTGTCTACGCAGAACGAAATGGGCGTTGTTTCTTCTTCAACTCCAGTGGTGATTCTTGCGCGTGCTCGGAGACACCCCCATCTCATGTGTCTCCCATGATGCGACAACTTCGAAACACAGGTCTGAATATCAGTAGATGAGGTCAAAGTGTTTCAGCACTTCACGACAGAACACAGACACGTACTTCGGCAGGCCACTCGAAGAGGATCATATTGGATGGGTTGAACCAGCCGTGCCTCTTAGTTCACTCATCTTGTTGACAGCAACTTGAAGAAACGTCAACATGCAACATACACAGACCGACCTAACTACGACGTAGCCCCTCTCCTTTCTTTGGGGATGCGCGCGCTGTCTCGCCGTGTGGCCCACTCGCTCCCTCTATCCCTCTCTCTGTCTCACCGCTTCATGGTGAGCACGTCAGTCAGCCCCGGAGCAGCCTGCGCGTGCTTCCAGCAGAGAATTCGGTCCCCGTTCAGCTGCGAGTGCGGCGAGGAGGAAGAGCGACAAAGGTGCCGACATTAAAGACAGAGAGAGACAGAAACAGAAAGAGAGAGTGAGAGAGAGAGAGCAAGATAACACACACGAGGGAGACAGGCGACGAGAACAGACCAAAGAAAGGGGAGCAACCAAAGCAAAAGGACTCTCGGCACACGAAGAGGATGCACTACAGAACAAATGAAATATTCCGAAATGGGTTTCGTCCTCGCTGCAGACGCAAGGGTACAAAACACCTCCGGTGCACCCGCTTGGGTCCGCGGTTCTGGTATAGGCGGGCCTTCTCAAGTGTTATTTTGTTTGTCTCTCTTTGGCGACAAAAAAAATCATAGATTCGACCAAAACATTACGCCGAAAGAAGAAAGTCGTGTAGATCTGCCGGCACGCAGCTACTGCTGCAGATCCACCCCCGACGGGGTCGCCGGCTTCGAGAGAACGCGATTCCCAATAAAGAGTATCACACCATAGCGGGCTACACCTGCGGCTGTTTCATCTTCCATCCGCAAAGCTGGTTTGCTGTACCTTACCCTCTTCAACTGGGCGTCCAACACGTCCAATGTAAATTTCGGCGCCAATTCTGTGCCCCACCATGCGCACGGACAAATCTCGGCAGCATACAGAAATTGGGGTGTTCAACGCGACGATGGAATAGACGTCTCCATCCCCGCACGCGATACTTTCGAAACGGTTGTCGACCAGAAAGAACATCAACGTGCCCCCCCAGCGATATGTGCTAGACTACGTCTCCTGTAGCAAGATATTTTGACACAATCTGGCGTCAAAGAATACCAGTGTACAACGGCAACCCCCCCAAGTGTCATTTCACCCACCTTGAAATCTAGCAGCTGTCCTTCTTCGTGCGCAACAGAGAAGCCCCAATCACCTGCCCCCCGGGTGGCCATAACATGCCATACAGGCCCTGTGAACTCCGTTAGGGAAGCCTGCATCGCACAAGTGGGTGGAAGTAGAGTTAGTTGTGTGTGCGTTCACCGACTCACTATCGTACGTGTGTTTCAGGCGTGCCCGCATTTCTCTGATTCTCTGTATTGATATACCTTAGATGACAGAAGATATGGCACCCCCTGGGCCGAATTCCAAAGCTTGAGTACTCCACGATGAAGAGGATGCACATATCAAACGAGACATTTTCGCCAAGCTCCCCACGAGGCGGTTTCAACCCCACTATTTTCGGCACGACCAATATTTAACCTGTTGAGTTTTGAAAATCAGTATAAGGGGTGCGATATCATATGTCACCTATGTACGGTGGTCGAGTGATGACTGTTGCGGGAGGGTTGAACCCAATCGTGTGTCGTGAAGCGAGGTAGGGACAAAACGTGAGGGAGGGTACTAAGATGGATTAGGTAGACTGGCAAGATAGGGAGACAGGGGCTATAGACAGGGACACGAAGAGCGACAGACAAGAGACTTAGAATGACGGCGAGGTCGAAGCCCAGAGGCAGGCAGACTCTAACTAAGAGACGATATAAAGAAGAGGTGTACAACTACGTACAGGCAGACGGCCAGGCAAAGTAATAAGAGACTACATCCGGGCGAACACCTGCGCTGATCCTCTTCAGCACGTACAATCGCGTTTGTATCTCCCGGGTATCATCACCCCTTCCATATCCCGTCCTGCCCAGCAACGAGTCTGAACGGGGGGCAGGCATGTCGTACCTTGAGGGCGGCCACGATGCTGTTCAAATCGCCAGTCTTCCCGTGTTCCCTCGCCGACGCCGAGGCCATGGCTAGAACACGCTTATGATACCCTTGCTCCATTTCCGACCTCAGTACCTTGATGCTGGAGAGAAAAAAGGCACATGCTAGGAGGACGCTCGTTAAACATGGATCACGCCAGGGCGTGGCAATCTGTATGTTTGGCTGTTGGCTTCCCGCATTCGTACTCGTTTAGCAAACCTCAACAACGGCCTGCACTGATCTTAAAAAGTAGATAAACTTGGGTGCGTGTCTGTGGCATGTACTAAAGGAGCGAGGAGCAAGACACGAGGGCGTTCAACGACCACTGCAGCCCAGCCAACTCGAAAAGATATTACATTGGTCGTTCTCGTCGAAAATTCTGTTGCCAAGTCCCAGGGACACGGTAGCGCCACGTGCAGGGGCGGAAGAAAATACCCGGCAATGACGGCACAAGTTTTCGGGGGCGACGACTGCCTCAATCCTGACCCTCTCAACATGCCTTCCCACCTGTGGTCAGGTATGTGCTGGTACTATTATCATTCGCACACAACATCCGACCTTGGTCAACCAGCCTTTCTACTATTGACGAGGGAAAGAGCACCGCGGAATCATTCTCACGGCGAAGGTAGGAGCAAGATTCCGCAGAGGCAAGGCAAAGGGGGCTCCGGGGAATGATGCATTGTGCTATGTATGGTCTCGGCTCGATGCCCCCATCTGGAAGAGGCTTTGCAACACAGAAACATATTTATTGAAGAAGAGCAGGCAACGAAGAATGGGTTGGTTACCTTGTTCGCTCCGCCCCTTTGGCTGACGGTCCCTGCTTGGGTTCTGCGTCTTGCTCGTGGGCTTGCGGGCTTGATAGCGGGTCATCCGGTGCTGGCGGGGCAGACTGGAAGACAATGATTCGCAGGCCCTCTGCCTCAAACAGGAAGGACTTCCCGCGCCACTGTAAAGCGTGGCATGAGAAAGGGGAGGAGGTCATTGTTACTTGCAATAGTCTGAGACCGTTGGAACCACCTTCTGAGCTGAGAGACTACAGAAACGTTCTAACATCGTTCCTTGAACGGTTTTTCGTACCATGCTTACAGAACCATTTCCAACGTTTCAGAGTCCTGTCCATTGTGGACTGTTCGCACAGTACACAACGCAGCAAGGGGGTGTTCCATTCAACAACAAGGTGGGCATGAAAAAACATATTCACTTATCGAATGACAACCTGCGGGACATAAGCTCTTGCTTACTCCCTCCGTCTTCCTACCGGCTTCCTCATCATCCCACCAACGTCTAGTTTTAACGAGGAAATCCCCCACGCCTACCACGCTGGTAGGAGAAGGCACCCGCAAGGGCGCACCACGATCAGACGACGTGCATCGAATGCTACCCGGGGCCCCCACGCGCCATCTGTAGCATCACACGCAACCATACAGATAATCTGCAACATCGCGACGCAAGCACATAGACAGCAGCTTGAGCAGGATCGCACGGCAGGCACCCGGCCGATTGGCCACCGCACGAAAGAGATACGCCCCGCGAAATTCGAGCTGTTGGTGGAGTAGGCATCTATGGAGACGATATGCGCCGCCTTCTTCCCCGTCCATGTCACCCGCTTCGGTGCGACAACAGGACGAAATTCCAAAGTTCGCACCAAACTACTCGCCCTTGAACCCGCCACGTGCACCAAGGTTGCGAAACGCAACCCCTTCGGTGTCTTCCGACCCTGTTGGTGGCTGAGTGCTCGGGTGAGCGCGCATGGTTCTTGACCCTAAAACACCATGACTTGCCATGGTTCAAATCCGCACCCAACCCTGTCCTGCTCTAGCTCCCCCTCAAAAAGGACACGAGTTCAGCCTGCAACCCGCGGGTCCACCCTTGGTTGGTGGTATTTCTCGGCGGGCATGCACGAGGCTCGCAAACGACACTCACTCTTCGTGAACGCTCTTCCTTCAGTGTTGTTTGTCATCCTAATGTATTATAAATCAATCTTCTGATTACACTAAGAGGCTGATACCCACTGATGTTTGTTGCTCTGCTGATGTGCCGTGCTCTCAGCTTGCCACACTCACATATCGGACGTGCACGCTGAACGCCTTGACCTTGCCTGCCACGCAATGCCACTCCGGACCGTGCTGTTTTTCATGCACGTGTACCACGTTAAATGCACATGCGCATGGGCGGAATTGAAGAGGAGCGCGCGGCGGGGGGGGGGGGGGGGGGG